CTGTAATTTTAATACTCTGTAGTTTAGCATAACAATTTTTTAACCAGTTATATACAACAGTTTTTTCAGACTATTTTTTTAAAAATATTTTTAAAATAAAAGCATGAATTGTACCCAATCAAAACACTACCCTATTTGTAAGCATATCTACATTTTTTTGCATTTTTATAACTATTGCTTTTACTTATAGTTTATTTTTTAGTAATATTTAAATAATTGTAATTATTTGAAAAATATAATTTTTCACTGCAGTTTTATTTATCCTACAACCTAAAGATCTATGTAATTGGCATATTATTTTCATTAAATCTATAGCCCTATTATTTTGAATTTGCATTGTATCCTAAATAATTATATATTGTAGTACTTAATGGGCTCAATTACATATTGGGTTTAACTTTGTCAATTTAAATTGTTCCCTAAATAAAAAAAAAAATAAACATGAATTGTACCAAAAAAAAAAGTACTCCTTATGTAATCAAAAGTATTATCTTTTTCAATATGACAATAACTGTTTTTCACATAGTTTCAATTTAAATTATACTAAAGATACTTACATGTAATTTGTTGTTCTTCACTAAAGTTATATATAACATATTATTTTGGAAAGCTTGTTATTAGAATAATTCATCTACTTTTCCATAGAAAATTTTTTTAGATGCTGAAAAAATAAAAATTGTAAATTTTAGTGTAATTTATGGTACTCATTATTTTAACAAAACTATTTTTTTAACCAATTATATACAAACTGCCTTTACAGACCATTTTTTTAAAAATATTATTTAAATGAAATCATGTATGCTTGTTTTTGATTGTATAATTAATTACCAGAATTGTTGAACATGTTACATGGGAAAGCCAGTTATTGGAAAATACATTTATTTTAACTTGGCAGTCTGATTTTGAAATTTTTCAGTATCCTAAAGAAGTATATCTTAAAGTACTTAATAGGCTTAATTACATATTGTGAATAACTTAGTAAATTTAAATTGTGCCCTAAATTAAAAAAAAAAAAAACCATGAATTGTACCCAATTAAAACACTACCTTTTTTGTAAGCATATCTACTTTTTTTTGGATTTTTATAACTATTGCTTTTACTTATGGTTTATTTATGGTAATATTTAAATAATTGTAATTATATGAAAAATGTAGTTTTTCACTGTAATCTTGTTTATCGTACAACCTAAAGAACCATGTAATTGGCATATTATTTTCATTAAATCTATAGCCCTATTATTTTGAATTTACATTGTATCTTGAATAAAGTTTTCTTTTCATTCTATTATAGACTCAATCACATGTTGTGAGTGTATTTTTCACCAATTTTGGTGAATAGTTTCATTTTTTTATTGGCATATATACTTTTTTTAAATATTCTTTTAAATTTAACCATGTGTAAATAGCAGTTATTATTATATTTTTAAAAAAAATAGATGTTCCTCAATGTATTCCATTATAATTGACAGAACAATTTATGATTTTGTTTTTTGTTCAAGACTCGATTTTAATAAAAAAAATTACTTTCAAAATTCTTTTGAGTCAATCATAAAACTTTTAAAAAAATGTATTCATTATACAATACAAATTAAATATAATTCGGTTATGTATACAATGGATGTAATATTCCAATTACAGTCTTCCCAATATGATATGTTAAACACAACCTTGGTTATTAACTTCATTTTTTAAATTGGTATACATATTATTATTTAAAATTAATCCATGTGTAAAAGCAGTTATTATATTGTTGAAAAAAGTAAAAGTCTAATTTGAATTTTAAATTTGGTTTGATAATACTAATAAAAAAAAATAATAATAATTGTACTGATACACAGTTTGTGAAGTATTATGTTTTTTTTTTGGTGTCTGCTAGGCACCAATAGTAAATTTTATTATTAGTAAAACAACTTTTGATCTATCAAACTACAAATATCATTTGATGGACGACATGTGATCCATGTACACTTGTAAAAATGTATATTAAATAAACTAAAAATAAAGTGTATACAAATTGTAAATACATAAGATACATGAAGATAGGTAAACTTAAGAATGGGCTAATATAAAACCAATCCTCAGTATTGTTATTTGAAACCAAAAACCATGAGTTAATATTAAAATTAACTGATACAGAGTGATGAAACTTTGAAAATATCGTGTTTAATTACACTTAAAAAATTCCAAAAATCAAAATGTGAATATATGCAAAATTTTAAAAAAAATTTGGGGTGTGCAATATTTGTAAATCACCCTGTATGTTAGTTGAAACTGGTTTTTTTTATCCTTTTGTCATAATCCAGAGAAATCATATTGGGTGAAATATCAGTTTTGAAATAAATTTTTTTCTACCAACAGGTTTTAAAAAAATGTACCAATAAACTATTGAATACATGAAAGTGGTATAAAATTTGGATCATGATATATTACAACAAATAAACTTAATACAATCTCAAGCTTAATACAATATTGATAAGAATAAATTAATATTATTTAACAGTTAAGGGCATTAAAACTAACCATAGCAGTAACAAATTACAATAATGTATTAATTTAATTATAATAAATACTTGATATTTAAGTGCCTACATAATATTATTATTTTAAATTGAGAATAATACAAGATTAAAAATTTAAGTAATAGTTAATTATGAATAAAGGATTATATAATCAATTAAACTGTTTATCTACAAATGTGGTTTAAGTAAAATGATGGTAACTGGCAAGGTATATGATATGTTGGCATAAATAATGAACTTTTTATCACTAACATGAACATATGTTACCCATGAGCATATCTCATAATATAATAAATATGCTATCATCGCTGATAAAATTGTCAATTCTGATAATATTCAAATTAGCTAATTGCAGTGAAAGATACTGGAGTATGCGAAATACAAATTTAATTATCAATAACGTTATGCATTGTTATTAGTATTGTATAAAATTGAATTAGAGAATCATTCATAACTTTAAAAATCAAAAAATTCATAATATTATATTATATTATATTAAAAGTGGAATATCTGGTCAATGGATAGTTGGAAATTAAAAAATTTAAACACTAAAATGTATTTTAATTAATACTCCATCTATTTATGGAATTTTAATATAATTTGCTATTTGAAAATCAAAAGTAGGTATTGGTCTTACCCCAAACATAAGGATTATAAAAAATATCATAATTATACAATTGTAGAGCTGTTTGTTTCTTAAATGTTCTAGAAAACAAATTCCAAAAAAGTCAATATTCTCCAAGATAATGAGTGTACCCACTTAAATGAATGGCCTTATATTATTATTACTTTTTTGTGAATATCATCGTCTTCCTGGTTCTTAAATTTTCATAAAAAAAAATATTTAAAAAAACAAATACTTTCTGAAACATCAAGTGTACTTTCTTAAATGGATCACCTTGTACAGATATACAAATACAAATACATTTAATTATTAGTTTATTATTATCAACCAGTGCCTAATGTCTACAAAGTTTACCAACAATTTTTATAATCCTACTAAAATAATTTTTGTTGCAATTATTGGACAACATAATTTTTCATGTGTAGTTGTTAAATGTATATTTTATTATATACTTATATATATTATATTCTAATTACAATTGTAATTAATTATTAATGGTGTATATTGTAATACAATATAATTGTATACATTAATACTTGACAGTAAATGAAAAACTAAGGGAGTTGATACATACAGCCCTATTGGTACTTACTTAATTAAAGGTAAAATTGAAATATCAAATTCTCTAAACTGTATTGCCAAATATAAATTTGGTTCTTTTAACAATTTCCATTTTTTTTTTGAAAATTTAGCTTGTCATGTCACTTTCTTTTAACCTTTGACATGCAGTTTTAATGATCTCTACCCAAATAACATAAATTACTTACATTGTTCATATTTATCTGTATAAATAACAATAGTTCACACAATAATTATTTAAATTTAAACTTGCATTAACTTCAATAAAATAATAAACATATTAGTAAACCTAAATCATAATGGAAAAGGTATATATTATTAGTTTTTAAATTAAATACATTTTAATCATCACACAAGATTTTATTTTTAAAAGTTAGGTATTATAAAAAAAAACTATGAAAAAAGACATTGGTATTAGAAATTACTACATTATTACATAAAACGTATTATTAATATAATATTGTATTATAGTAGTATTAGTAGTTTTTATTTTAATTAATAATTACAAACATAAATTATTAAGATTCGTGTAAAACTAATATTTGCTAATATAAAAACAATAGTGGTTATAATAATAGTACATAATACAATAATTTTGCAATAAAATATAATATTATGTTGTGCATTGTGTAAGCAAATAACATATTTGTCAAGCCCTACTGATTCTAAACTATTAATTATATAAATTGTTTGTTTTGTAATAATAATTTTATTTTTTATATTCTTAAGGAGGCTAAAGTATAATAATATTTGAGTAATTGGTTATCATTGCTACAATTATTGAAATGATTATTTGATTAAATTAACAGTGCTACTACAATTAATATAAGTGCGTTATTTATAAAAAAAAGTAATAATAAACTCCTAAAATATTATGAAGTAGGTACTTGTAGGTTATAATATAATAATGTAATAATGATGTAGTATAATTTAAGTTAATTGTTTGAATATTTAAATCTTATTTTTCGCATTTGTGTGTCCATAAATTAAATAGTCTTAAAACAGCAGTATGTTTTAAGAGGAGTGTTCCGTTGGCCAATGGTCAGCATAGAGAAATCATTTTTTGAAGCCGGAACTTTACTTGGTTTAAGTACAATCATTTTATGCTGGGCAATGTTCATGACCACTTGAAATTTAGACAAAAATGGTGAACCCAAAATGCCTGCTTCCGGAATAGAAAACCCTTCGCCCAATACATGGAATTCAATCGGATAATGTTGACTACCGATTTTCACAGAAATTTCCACCAAACCTTGTGTACGGAGTTCGAATCCAAAAACATCGACGACAGTAAACGTGGCCTTATTTTTAAACACTACGTTGTCACGCAAAGCCGATTTTTTAATAAAATTAATTGTCGCGCCAGTGGATACCAAAAGTTTAACGTCTTTACCGAATATCATGGAGTCCGAAAAACCAAATACTCCTCTGTCGACGTAATTGCAAACCATATAGTCTTCTGAGTCATCGCTTAATTCGCTTATATCGCGGAATGAACTCGATTGCCGGGAACTCATTTTGTTTAAATATTCCCTAGAATTTATTACGATTAAATAAGTCACTAGATAAATTCGAAAATCTTCGGTAATTTTATTAAACCGTACCTACTTGACTTGGGTGTGGCCGCGATAAATAATTCGCCGTTGATGTCTCCAATCTATGTCACCGACCGACTGGTTTGAAATAATGGAATCTTGAAAACAGCCCCTGTTGATTGAACAATAAACGTTAACTTTTATTTCTACCGTCAGACAATTTTAATTAATATTACCTGTTTAATGCAAGTCACTGTAAGTATAAGCACAACTAATACAAGTCGAGCAAATGAAATAGGTATTTTACATGTAAAACATGTTAGTGGTTACTGGTTACTCTTTTGTTTGATTTTCGTCGACGTGTAATATTATCATATGATGTTAGAACCATAGTTATAGATATAAATGTTTGCGTGACGGGCTATACTAGACAGTGTAGGCTGTTGAAAAGAGCAGCAGCGAAAATTCTTATCAAAAACGTCTACACCGCCAGAGCTCTCTGTACATTACCCATACAGTATTGACTAATGTGGTAATATATATCATGGCTAAATAACTATACTTCGCGCCGCGAGAGAAGTAACCCGTTTTGCGCATGCAAACTGACGTCAGGGAGCGTTACTAGGCTCCGTTTCCCCCACTTTGTCCCCTTCTGTTCATCGATGTGGCGTGCATACAGCGTAAAATAAGTGATATATAAAATGATTATATTATAATATTATTTATAATATCGTATATCACGTGCAGAACAAATCATTTAACAGTCAACGGAGTGAAAGTAATCGCGCGGTTCATAGAAGTAGTGGCACAGACGCATTGACACACTGTATCAAGTGTACGTAATGACTAATGATACACACTATACATCGTTCCGACCGTTAACGATTGTGATCGTGTAACGACAGTATGTCAAATAAGTGGGGATACATGAATTCGAACGCAATTAGGTCAGGACACGGGTTACTTCTCTCGTATAGTATAGATATGTCGGCAATCTATAATGCGCATTTATAAAATGTGATAAGAGATCAACCATTCTACGTTATCATAAATTTGAATTTTCAAATTTACTAAGGTGTATTTATCAGGTATACACACATGTACCTACAGGCTACTATTTAAAAATACAATATAACCATATTGTTTTCTATTTAGAAAATTCTTAAACATTTTTTAGATTTTTTTTTTATAGAACTACTTGGTTGTGTTTTCTTTATGCAAATATCCTTTTATTCAAATAAAACTTAACAACATATTATGTTAAAGTATGTAGATGATCTTGATAACCAACTTTTGTAGAAATGCTTATGTAGCTTATTTCATCTATTACTAAAATGCACAAGAAATAGGTACCCATGCATCATTTTAACAAATATATGGACACAATAAAAATAAAATATACTATACTTACCAAGGTCCAAAATATGTTTATTCAAATCATTATTTTTCAGGACATTTATGATGGTTGTTTCCAAATGATATATGAGTTTCATTAAAACGCCTATCAGAATGAATAAATGACCTGCACTTCATAAACCAATGAATCTTTCTTCAAAAGTATGAGGAAAGGGAATGTTTTTGTTTGAAACAATTTAATTAAAGCAGCTTGTACAATTTTTAGCTATTGAATGTTTTTTTCGCATTGTGCAACATATTCAATAAAATATGTAAGTGCATTTTTATCAATGTTACTTTGGTTTTCATTTAAAGTATAAATGATCATTCAACAAATCAAATTCACCAGTATCTAATAAATTGTTTAATTTAATTTCTAGGTCAGCCTTTTTCTGGATGTCTTCTTCACTGATAGTTTTAATATTATTAGTGCCTTTAATATATTCTCATCACTTACATTACTACCTCTTGATGGCTTTATTGATAAGTAACATAATAATTATCTGTAAATTTGAACAAATTACCTTGGATCTGAATATTGGTTTGATCCACATACTTGGCGTACCGAAAAAAATTTTAAGTATGCAAGAATTATTTATAATTAATGAAATTTGTAAATTTTAGTTATTTTATATTCTGGAGAAAATTAATACCTCTAATGCATCTTGATTAATTTGTTTTAGCATAAGATATCTACAACCCAAACTCTTACTTAAATATTCAATTAAATCTAAAGTTCCTTCTATTGAAACTATTAAACATAGGTCAGTTTGACTGGTGAATCAAATATGTTTGCCTTGAATTTCTAATACCCAAGTTTCAAGATAGCTTTTAAATCATCTTATTTTAGAAACAAAAAACTTTATAATTTTTCTTTTATATGTTAAATAATATATTATTATCTACTATATTTCTATTAGAATTTGGGTCTGCTTGTAGACTATGTTTTTCAGTATTTGAATTTAATACATAAACTAAACTGTTTATTTTTATTTTATAAAATTTATAGTAGGTTTATAGCCAATTAAATTATTGTCACCTCTATTTAATAATTCATTGATGCAATCAGCTACTGTTTTTCTGAAAAACTATTTTAAATACACATACATATAAATATTATAATAAGTAGATAATTATTTAAATACCATTAAAATGTAGTATAAATTATTTTAATTAATTTACAACTATGACTATTTTAACATTCATTTTTTTAGAAATTTTACGGGAACTAATGATGTTTTGTTAATTAGTTACAAAGTTTAATATGTTTAACTTGATTAAGTTCATTATGTTGTACTAAATATTTCCAATATTTCCAATAACCAAATTGTATATGACCTTCAGGAGTCTAAATATATTCAAAGAAAGAAGATTATTAAACTCTACCTTTAGGGTTTTATTTTTAATTATTCTCATCTACATAGTTTCTATTAAATGTGGAAAATCTGATATAAACCATAATATTCTTTCAGAATCCAATGAATGTTGACAACTAACACTGGTATTTTTTATACGAAATGAGTTTCATATTTCTTTATACCATGCTTCTACTCTAAGAGTATTATTGCTTCAATATTAGAATTCATTAGGGGCTGCTCTTTCACTTAAAAAAATCTTCAATTACTTATGACCATGGTCCTTAATATGGTTGATACCAAGGCATGATCTAATTCAGTTTTTTTGTTGTTCTGGAGTAAATATATATAAGTAGTAGGAATATGCATGTTCTGGCGCAGATTAATTCTCCCTTTAAAAACTAATTTCTGATCTCTATTCACATTGTTTTATTTCGTGTTCTTTGTTTACATGCATAAAATAAAAATAATATCAAAAAAAAACAAATTAAAAATAATAATAAAAACAAATGTTACATAAACATTGTATTAGGAACAGTTCTCTTTAACAAAAGTAAATAATATAATATATTAAAATGAAAAATATATGAAATAGATTATTTCTCAAAAATAATTTATATTAAAACTATCATTATTTTTAATTATTTGTTTTTATTAAATTATCAAGGTATTCAATTTCTATTTTTGTTGAATAATGTCCCCAAGCTAAAGTATTTATACCATTTTCTAGAATATATCTTTTATCATCGTATGCACTAAGAGCTTTTTTGTTTTGTTCAACAGTATATATTTCATGTTTATCTGTTCTAAAAATGTTCTGTTTAATATATTTTGTTTTTTTATTTTTTAAACAATTATAAAAATTATTAAAACATAATTCATTTTTAATTATGGGTTTTTTCACACCTTTTGCTTTCAAATTTTTCAAAACAGATTCATTTTTATTTTCAAATACTTTAAATGAATATAATTTAGATCTTAAACCAACAAATTCAGTCATTATTTGACCATTAAGCTCTTCTTTAAATTTACCTGGAACTTTTTTATTTATTTGGGGAATTCTATATTTATTATTCTCAGGATAATCTGAAAAATCAAATTAATTTAAAAATTATTTATTATATTTTAAATCTGTATAAAAATCATCAGTTGTAATTTCTACTATTAAAGAATCTGTGTCTGTGTATAATGATCTGATATTTTTTTCAATACATTATAATAAAAATCATAAATTCGAGTTTGAAATAAATCTAAAATACACATTCCTAAATAAATTGGTTGTTTTAATTTAACCATAGTTTTTTCATATGCACAGCTACTATGTTTTCTGTAAAAATAGTTTGGTTTAGCAATCCACTTTTCCAATATTTTCCCATCATTAATTAATTTTATATGTTTATGGTTTCTTGTGTTCATTATGTTCTTAAGGAATATACTGTTATTCACTAACTTATAATAATCTTTTTCAAATTCATTTTCTGTTTTTGTACATAGATTTGTGTTAAATCTTGTGTTCAACTAATCTTTTTGATCAAATTTTATTACCCTATGTATTTTTTCTAATTTTAAACCTTAACTTAAATACAGCCTAAGATTAATATAATGTAGAATATTTTTTTTCTTATCATATAGAGTTGTTGTTAATTTTGGTAATTCTTTATTGAAGTTCTTTAGGGTATTTAAAATCTACTTCGAAAATATAGCCCTTTTCCTGGTCATCTTTCATTTTTAAAATATATTCTGTAGTAATTATTAACACTTTCCTCATCTATAAATATTATTTGCATCCAAATCTAAAAGATATTTTGATTTTGTTAATCAACATTTCGTTAATGTTTGTTCTTTTTTTTCTCCAATATATTTATTAATTGCTTTAGAATATCTAATACTACATTGAGATNATACATATCAATATCTCTTAATAGTTCTAATTCTACACCTGTTTTTCTAAGCATAGCATTCCACAAAAAACCTGGAGTTATATAATAATGAACATGATCCAACTTAAAATGTCTTATTGAAACATCTCTCTAATTTTCCATTAAATCTGTAAGTAATAATACATATATTTTATTATAAAGTATGGTAAAGTCTCTAATATTTTTTATTTTGAATCTTTCCCATATTCTTTTTAGGTTTTTTATATGCATTTTGTGTTACATGTTCACCTGTAAGAGAACTGTAAAATTTATCCATATTAGGTTGAGATTCTTCATCATATTTTTTTGGAGAATCTATATATTCATAAGGATATGCTAATTTTCCTTTTACTAAATCCAATTTTTCAGGATAATGTTTAGATAGTTCTTTAAACTGGTATGGTTTTAAAGTATTAGCTAATTTTTCTAAAGAACTAGATAAGAACTTGAAAGAATCAAGAAATCTTATTTCAACTGTTTTAAAAATAGGTTTTCCTTTCTGATTTAAAACAGGGTCTTTAGTTATTGGATCTATTTTNAAACTGGTATGGTTTTAAAGTATTAGCTTATTTTTCTAAAGAACTAGATAAGAACTTGAAAGAATCAAGAAATCTTATTTCAACTGTTTTAAAAATAGGTTTTCCTTCCTGATCTAAAACAGGGTCTTTAGTAATTTGATCTATATTCATATATCCTATATTTTTTGAAAATAATATATTATTTTTTGAAAATAATATATTATTTTCTTCACTATTTGCAATTGGTTTTATATTATGTTTATCAATACCAAATTCTTTTTATGAATAAATGAACGTCATAACCAGATAGGTTGTGGAAAAATACTGGAATAAATCTAGGAACCTTATAATTTAAATTACATATAGAATGAGCAGCTCCTCAGTATTATCGTGTTAAGTGTTTGTGATCTCTAACTTTTTTCATATTATCTTCAAGAGCTTCAAGGAACATCTTTCTTTATTCCATTAATTTCTTAATCCGTCTTTTAAAAAAAATTTTAATATATAATATTATGTAAACAAGGAAATAAACAATATAAAAATTGGTTTAGATTAGAAAGAATAAGAAGTTTTATTATACTTTTTATATAAGTTTAAGAAAGAATCTAATAATGAAAAACTAGTCAAATTTTAACAGGAACTTACATGTTAAAAGATCTTATTCTAAATTTGTTTTTTTGGATTTCACCTAAATTTTATTTAAAATGTAATGATATAGTTGTAAATTAATTATTTTGAAAAAAAATATAAATATTAAATTAAAGAAAAAGATAAAATAAATATTTGAATAAATCAAAACAATAATTTACTTTCAGAAAGACAAAAACCAGGAAAACAAAATAATAAGTTATCTCAAAAAATTAATTTAGATTTATTTAAATATTTAAAATATTTAAGTTTCAAAATTTTGTTTTCTGTAATTCTTCATTATTGAAACTTCCTTCAATAGTTTGATTATTTAAGTCTTTAATTATATAAGTAATTGGATTTGTTTTCACTATCCCTGTAAAAATAAATAGTTCTCTTGTCCAATTAAAATTAAATTTGTTATAAAACGTTTTTCTCAACTTCTTTATTCTAACCCAATCAACAGTCTTAAATTTAATTTTTGATTTAGATATTTCATTTGGGAATAATTTTAAAAAAAATTGTTCTTCATTAGATTTGTTTACATTATATAGTATCATTCCAATTGTTATAAAATATAATATAATATTGTTATATGAATATCTTATTATATATCTAATTATATTTGTTCAATAAATCTTGTAAAATATCACCCCATCTTTTATTTTTCTGAACTTCAAACTGTATTCTCATTTTACCATTTAAGGCTCTGTTCAATAATTGCAGATTTCTCTTCATTTTGTGTATGATATAATTTTGTATTGTATTTTATTAATATTTCTTTAAACTGTTTATTTACAAATCCCGTTCCTTTATCAGTGTGAAATAATGTTGGAGAATTGTGTCCCTGTAGTTTAGCTCTTTTTATTATTTCTTCAACAGATTTTGTAACAATTTTTCCATTTTTCTTTTTAATTGGTTCAGTCGAAGCAAATTTTTAAAAAGTATCTATAACATTCAACATAAATAAATATTTATAAGTATTAATAAGTATTAATAAGTATTTATAACTTTATTAATAAGTATTTTCATCACTGTAATTTATCATTATAACTAAATCAACAACCTATAAATCATCAATTTAGTCAACTTTTTGGAAATCGAAATCTTACAGATTTATGAAGTTCTTTTATAATACTTAGTTTGTCTTGTTCTGATATTTTTTCAATTTTTAATTTTGAGATTGTTTCTTTTCCTAAAGGAGTTTTAATAAATTTACTCTTGTTTGTTTTACATTTTAAACATTGTGTTGAAATTCTCCATACACCATTTGTTGTTTGAACCTTGATTGGTTTAATATTTTTAGTTTTTTTTTTACATTTGTGACAGTGTATTAGTTTTTTAAATTCTTTGTCCATATTTATTAACATAATAAATTAATTTTTCTTTCTTAATAGAATATTTTTATTAAAAAAATATTTTTATAGTTTTAGATGTTTTTCTAATTGTGTTTTGGACGAAATCATATGTAATTTCAGAACTTGAAACTAAACAAATATAGCAAATTGTACCATTTGGTACATTCTAATTAAATTCTATTTTTAATAATATTATTTCTATTTCCACTAACATTATCAGGTTGTCTAGTAAGATTTAATATCAAGACATTGGTCTTGATTTTTTAAAATTTCCAGGATCAAGATACATCAGAGGAAGTTTTTAATGTGTTTTATGGAATGTTTTCTTAAATGGCATATAAATATCATATGCAAATGAAAATTTCTCATTTTTCCAATCTAAATTTAATGATTCTTGTGGATATCTCTGTCCATCAATTTCTAATAAAACATTTTTTACATTACAATGATCAAAAACAGAAACTTTTCTTAATTGTGTTTCTAATCCATTTGTTTGGAGAGTTACAACTAAAAATAATGGATTATGAATATTTCTATATGAACTTGCAATATTTCTCTTGAATGTTTTATCACTTAAATTGGTTTTGGTTTCATTCATACATTGTCAAGATCTAAAATTTAGCATGTAATTATTTTCTTGAGATAATTTTATTAGTTCGTTTATTAATTGTATTTTATACATTTCTTGATATTCCACTGATTGAATCTTAATCTTAAAATCCTCAATAATAACTTTTTCAACATGTTGTAGAAACCAATCTGTACAATACATCATCATCTTTTGCTCTCTTATAATTTATTTTAATTTCTCCTTTAAAAATCAGATGTTTAATATCTTTAAAGGAACCCAAATATAGATAAGATAAATTTCTAACAGCTTCGAATCATCCCCCACATGTATATCTTGTATGACATCCAGAATAAATTGTTGGGCCATTTTCATCTAAAGAATAACTAACACATGATTTAATTATGCTTGATCTGCCAACGTTTTCTATTTGATTTATTAATGATCCATTTTTTGTCACTTCAATTGGAGAGAATAAGAATACAACAAAATTGTCATCTAATTTAAATTTACTATTAGCTTCATATTCAGTACCATCTTGTTTTAAGTATTTTCCACCAATGATATGTTTTGCATGTTTAATATTAAGAAAACAATCAGAATCTTCTATTTCAAAGGTTAACATATACAAGGATAACACCACCATCTCTGTTAAAATTTTTCCCGGTTTTTGCTTCATATGTTTTATATTGTGATCATCATATTTTTTAAAAATACTTTCCATTTATTATAGAAAAGAAGACAATAATAAAAAAAAAAATTTTTTATAATAAATAAATATCAATAGTTTCTTAATAATAAAGAAAAGTATGTAGACTTTCATCCTTGGGATCAGTACTTGCCCTTTGACTATACAAAACAATTATTTTATTTTAAGGATTCTAATTCTACTTTTGAGGTTTTAGGCGATTATATTTATGAAAAGATTCAATAATTACCAGAAATATATCAAAAGTTTTATTCATTAAAAATAGCGAATATAAATAAACATTTAACTGTTCTAGAAAAAATAATTAATGAAATCTGTGCAGAATGAACTAATGATATTTCTGAATAAAATATGAAAACTGTCATAACTTAAGAATACATTTTTTAATTAGAAACCTGATTAAAAAAATTTTTAGATAAATAATTAAGGTATATTTTTTATAATTTTTAATAAAATCCAAACACAAATATCCACAAATAAGCGGATCAATATAGTCTTGAATTCTTCTAAATGTTCTTTTAAGATTATTTTCTTATAAATAATTTACTAATTCTTTTGGTGGATTAGCATTACCATAAACATCAAAATAAATTTTTAAATTTTCATGTTTTATTCATGCAACTCAATATGATACTTCTTGATAAGAATTATTTAAATTTAATATTCCACATTCATTCATTAAAGTTTCTATAAGTAATTTATCTCTCATAAAACATCCTAGAATATTTTTATATTTTTACCAACTTTCATGATATCGAAATTGGTTAATGGCTGGTTTTCTTTTTTTTAACACATGAGTGCTACAATATCTTTTTTTATTTTTAATTGGAGATCCAACTTGTAAATTTTTAACATTATTAAAAAATTTCTCCAATTCTTGAACAATAAATTAGTACATATAAGTTATATAAATCGGACAAATAGGTAATTTTATAATACAATATTTTTAATAATTTTTTTTTTTTGAATTAATGCCAGGATATGAAATAGCATTCTTAAGAGCTATCAACTGTTGCATTTACAGGAAAGATTTTGATAAATCGTTATATTATTGTCATATTTATTTGGGAAATTTTTCGGAGGCGAAGGTATGATACATTTTTTTATTGATAATTCTATATTATGAGATATTTATGTCGTTTAATTTTGCATAATTAGAAAATTGAGATGGAAAAATGTTTAATTATGAACATAGAAGATCAAAGAACGCTGAAAGAAATAAATAAAAGAAAATTGCGTGTAGACGGCCAAATAGGTAATTTTATATTACAATATTTTTAATGATTTTTTTTTTAAATGTGTCTGTTTAAAAATTAGTTGGTGATAAAATCGGAGACATAAATATTTTTAATACTGATGACCCTGATTTAATCCCACGAGTACGTTTAACAGAAAATCGACGACTCCTATGGTCAGTTCTTTTTTATTTGCCGGAGCCTAATGCAACTGTTATTGTACCAAATATTCACGAAGATGTTACGTGAGTATACGTTTTTTGCATCTGAACATTTCTCAAGTGTTTTATTATTTTTTTAATATTATTTTAAAAATTATGTAAGCATATTTATTCTCTTTTTAGGTTCTTCAACCTGTTAGAAAGCATATTTAATCAAAGAGCACCATGGGGGGACGACGAAGGTAAGTACAAAGCAGACACACTGAATGTTTATAATGAAATTTCAGACAACACTACGACCAGAGTTCTAAAAAAAGTACGCCCAGAATACACATTGTCAAATGTATTGACATCGTTCAGGTAATCAAATTGTTTCTTATGTTTTAAATATTTCTTGTTCGTGTTCTTCTCTCTCCTCTCAATAAGCAGCAATTTCTGTTTCTTTATTCTTCAATGCATTGTTGTCGCAAACAAATAAGCATTTATATAGACATAGAGTTTTACTTTTTCACACTTGCTTATTCCCATCGATTTGTTTGATACACTCGATGGATTTAAAATATACGTTATTTTTATTTTTATTGTTTTTAGGTGTCCGATTAAACATGGTTTACCAACGTTTATAATTGTTATTTCCGGAGGAAAATATGAAAATGAAAATTTAGAAGATTATGTCGAGTATGTTTTAGAAGTGTTTTATCAAAATTTCAATTGGATCTATGACTCAACATAGATTCAAAATGTACAATTATGTTGTAACTTAATTTCAAATCGTACATTTGATATGTATTTATTACAGTATTATATTGAAACCGTTTTAAAATGCATATGTATAATTAAATATTTTTTCAGGTAATCATATTGCAGTGTGTATCTGGGTTAAGTTAGGAATGACGTGACATCAATATTGACAAATTGAAAATAAACATTAAATATCAGTATGAATGAATAAGACACACCTTTAAATCATTTTTTTAGTCAATCAGAGAATTGTATTTTTTGTAAATATATTTTCAGAGACATGTTTAAAATTTTAAGAGTATTAAATTAAATTATGTAAATATTAAATTTATGTACATCTGCGTTATCATATTTATGAATCGGGTGGTATTGATGTTTAAACATTTTATTTTTTAGGGATTTACATCCGACACATTTTATGATATTGTGAGTTTTGAAAACGTGGTATTCTGTACTAATGTAATTGATGTTATCATTATTTTAAATGATGTTCTTCTTTTTTCCGTTTTTAATATATAAGTGTATTATTTTCCATTGTATTTAATTCCTGAATGTAGTCATTATTGTTTAAAGAGATATTCTCTAGTCCGTGAAGAATTGATCTAAAATATGTAAATTTTTTTTAGCGAGAGTGATTAGATTTATAAGTTTTAATACCATAAGTTTCCGTAGGTTTTATATTATGATTAAATTTATATTTATTATTGATTATTTGCATGTTTAGATCTAAAAATTATACCTGACCATCGGTTTGTAATTCAATTGTAAATTGTATGTTTTTTTAATTATTATGTGTTTGTATGTATATTTCTGAGATAATGACACTTAAAAGATTGCCCATAATTAAACCATTGGTTTATGAATATATTGTTTTGGTATAAAATAAAATTTTATGTTTTTTTTATTTATTACTTTTGTTTTTATTTAGTAAATGGTAGTTAAATTTTCTTTAAAACTTTGTATTATTTCTAATTTTGGGATAGAAGTGTAAAGGTTTTTATTATCCCATGAAATCATTTTACATCCCTGCGAAATGTTATAATTTTTAATACTATTAATCAAGTAATATGCGTTTTCGATAGAACGTGTGTTTTTTTATATTTTAATTTGTTTTTTATATAAATATATGAATAATTTTTAAGTTTCATAGGCGAAGATTTGTAGCCTAAAAGTGGAGTTTTAAAATTTACCAATAGTCTTATTGAATGATATTTTTTTGAGCAAATTAACAAATGGGTGTAATTATAGAGATCGTATGTTGCTATCGTTGTTTAATAATGTTTTATCTTCTGGTGTTAATATTCCATAGAATTTCCAATAGTATTACTTATCAATTTTTTAGATTTATTAAGAGGATCATTGTTCATTATAATTTCTTATGAACTCATTAGTCTTTTTAATAACTACGTGTCTGTTAATTGTTTATTTAAAGTTGTAGGAAACATAATTGAACTAAATTCAGGAAAATATAATTTAGATGAATTAAATATTATGTTTAAACCTTTAATAATTTATGTAAAAGGAGACAAAATTAATATCAAATCTAATGTATTTTTTAATCTAGATTAATAGGTAAACAGATATTTATAATTTGATCACGATAACGATCATTGTTTTAACACAATGAACGATAGGGTACTTGGAGAATTTCCGTTTAAATTTACAATATCTAATCCCAGAGATTAAATAATACAAAACAATCAGGGATGTAATTTTATTATTTGTCAAAATGGAAATATAACACCATATAAATCACATCTTGGATTAGACTCATTGAAAGAACATGAAAAAATGTTTAATATTTATCGTGAACATGGTTTATATAATGCATTTACAACAGATATACTCGAAAATAGATTATTAAAATTACCATCACTCTTAATATGGATCTCGATTCGTATTTTTGTGATTGTTAAGGTTTTGAATATAACGATGTTGAATCGCTTAAAGGAGAAAAATATTATGTTATAAATGGCCTTTTCATAAAGATGTTGAGAAAGGGGAACACATGTTTTACTTCAACTGCTGTAAGAATTCTAAACTTAAATAAAGAAAAACGTTTAATTAACACAGAAGGAAATATATATTTTGATAATGGGTTGATTACGAAAATTCCTAGATTGAAGTAAAATATTGATCAAATAAATTTTATTTTAAAAACGAATCTGAAAGTTTCCGATAATTATTTAATTTAAATTAAAAGCTATGAAAATAATTTTATGTTTGATAATAACCTTTATAATCTTTATAAAAGATAAACCTTTGTGATAATATTGATGTTAAGTATGATAATTTTTCAAAAATTGGAATTTATCCAGCAAGTAAACCATCTAATATTCCCTAAGAATAATAAAAAAATATATCTTCATTAGTAGGTATATTTTTAAACCAGGTTTCTGGTTAAAAAATGTTTGTTAATAACCTTGGTGATAGTCTAAGGATTAAGTTTGTTTGTTTTTCGAAAATTGAAATTCGTCCAACAAGTAAAACCCACCAATATCCGTTTAGAATTACATTGCAATATAGTAGAGAAATGTATATCCTGTCATTAAGAAAATGAGCATATTTATTGCGAGCAGAATCTTTTATTTATATTTTTTATTATTCATTTATATTATTCATATTTTTACAAAAACTATCAATCAAGGAGTTTATGGACATGTTATATAGTTTAGTTGTTTTTGATGATTGTATGTTAGAAAACCAAACTGTAATTAAAGAATATTGTGTAAGGTCTAGACACAAACATATCTCTTGTATCTATTAAGCCAAAAGATAGATATTAACAAATCTGAAAACCATAAGAGAAAATTTAAATTTCTTAATTGTTTTCGAACAACTAGAACATTATGTAAAAAAACATTGGAATGATTGTTTTAGAATTTTGAGGACGTTAAAAGTGTTTAAATTATTATATGCAACTTGTTGGGCGGTTTGATATGGATTTATCGATGGACATGAAAAATAAATATTTCTATAGAAACCCACATCCGAGGTTCCCGGCCGCGTTATTTTTTGTTCCTCCGAAGACCACTGATGAAGACGGGCGTACAAATATATTTTGTTCAGCCAATGTCAAAACCCAACAAAATGGGTTAGAATTGGGTTTTGATTCGTGTAATTAATTATCTTTATACATATGTTTATTACTAAAGTTGTACAACGAGATGCTAATGTGAGTGGACAGGGACATTTGACCTGACCGTGTTGATATTGCTGCGGATGTCGTTATATTAGCTGCGAGCTGATGGTGGTTATACGCTGTTGTTGAGTGGTGCATGGTTAAACTACCGACCCGCAAAAGCTCTATAAGACCTGCTCGTGTGTCGCGTTCACGGCAGTTAGGCAGTTCGCGGGCTGTATTCAAATTTTAAATTTGGCGGTTTAAAACAGGACGTTACAAGGTAATTAATATCGCAATTTTATTATGATACTAAAATATAGTACTGATGTGATACATTTAAATTAAATAGTATACTACGTTATATTTTTACCATGAAATTCATTTACTTGCTATCGATAATATTCATTTTTAATATTTGCGTTTGAATTTTTTGTGTTGGTCACACTATCTAATTGGGACGCTCGAACAGTTGACACGTATTTGGTATGTGTACGCTTTTGTTTGTATAATCATATCTGTGTTTGTATACTTTTTTGCAATTCTCTTGTTTACTATTAAATATTTCTCATTCGATACTAAATTATTTATATTACACTAAAATGGATAAAACACCGTGAGTATACTGTTTATTTATAATTGTGTGTACATAGGTGACATTAAAGTAGCTAATCATTTATTTTCGATAATTATTATGACATATTCATGATTGACAAATTAATATTTCAGGGGATTATATACCTCGGCGATATATAAATGCACCGGAACAAATAATTGCCATTACTTTAATGTGGTTAATAGAATATTTCAAGAAAGATCAGAAAATGTTCAGCTTCGTCAAGAAAACAACACGACAGTTGACAAGAGTGAAAAACTAGCCAATAGGTATAACGAAAAGGGCATTTTGCAGTTTAAGAGGTGTAAATATAAACTATCCATAATATGCTTTCGAAAAGGCCTGATGTTGGATTTTAAAAATGATCTGCTACGTGCTAACATGTGGAACAATTTGTCTGCTGTATACTATTTGTTACAAAACTATAAGTAAAATTATAACCCAGGTCATAGATAAACATTATTTTTAATTTCTACATTTATTAACTAGATCGAGTTTGGTAACGGCTGAGAGAGCCCTTGAATTAATGCCAGGATATGAAATAGCATTCTTAAGAGCTATCAACTGTTGCATTTACAGGAAAGATTTTGATAAATCGTTATATTATTGTCATATTTATTTGGGAAATTTTTCGGAGGCGAAGGTATGATACATTTTTTTATTGATAATTCTATATTATGAGATATTTATGTCGTTTAATTTTGCATAATTAGAAAATTGAGATGGAAAAATGTTTAATTATGAACATAGAAGATCAAAGAACGCTGAAAGAAATAAATAAAAGAAAATTGCGTGTAGACGGCCAAATAGGTAATTTTATATTACAATATTTTTAATGATTTTTTTTTTAAATGTGTCTGTTTAAAAATTAGTTGGTGATAAAATCGGAGACATAAATATTTTTAATACTGATGACCCTGATTTAATCCCACGAGTACGTTTAACAGAAAATCGACGACTCCTATGGTCAGTTCTTTTTTATTTGCCGGAGCCTAATGCAACTGTTATTGTACCAAATATTCACGAAGATGTTACGTGAGTATACGTTTTTTGCATCTGAACATTTCTCAAGTGTTTTATTATTTTTTTAATATTATTTTAAAAATTATGTAAGCATATTTATTCTCTTTTTAGGTTCTTCAACCTGTTAGAAAGCATATTTAATCAAAGAGCACCATGGGGGGACGACGAAGGTAAGTACAAAGCAGACACACTGAATGTTTATAATGAAATTTCAGACAACACTACGACCAGAGTTCTAAAAAAAGTACGCCCAGAATACACATTGTCAAATGTATTGACATCGTTCAGGTAATCAAATTGTTTCTTATGTTTTAAATATTTCTTGTTCGTGTTCTTCTCTCTCCTCTCAATAAGCAGCAATTTCTGTTTCTTTATTCTTCAATGCATTGTTGTCGCAAACAAATAAGCATTTATATAGACATAGAGTTTTACTTTTTCACACTTGCTTATTCCCATCGATTTGTTTGATACACTCGATGGATTTAAAATATACGTTATTTTTATTTTTATTGTTTTTAGGTGTCCGATTAAACATGGTTTACCAACGTTTATAATTGTTATTTCCGGAGGAAAATATGAAAATGAAAATTTAGAAGATTATGTCGAGTATGTTTTAGAAGTGTTTTATCAAAATTTCAATTGGATCTATGACTCAACATAGATTCAAAATGTACAATTATGNAATTGAAAATAAACATTAAATATCAGTATGAATGAATAAGACACACCTTTAAATCATTTTTTTAGTCAATCAGAGAATTGTATTTTTTGTAAATATATTTTCAGAGACATGTTTAAAATTTTAAGAGTATTAAATTAAATTATGTAAATATTAAATTTATGTACATCTGCGTTATCATATTTATGAATCGGGTGGTATTGATGTTTAAACATTTTATTTTTTAGGGATTTACATCCGACACATTTTATGATATTGTGAGTTTTGAAAACGTGGTATTCTGTACTAATGTAATTGATGTTATCATTATTTTAAATGATGTTCTTCTTTTTTCCGTTTTTAATATATAAGTGTATTATTTTCCATTGTATTTAATTCCTGAATGTAGTCATTATTGTTTAAAGAGATATTCTCTAGTCCGTGAAGAATTGATCTAAAATATGTAAATTTTTTTTAGCGAGAGTGATTAGATTTATAAGTTTTAATACCATAAGTTTCCGTAGGTTTTATATTATGATTAAATTTATATTTATTATTGATTATTTGCATGTTTAGATCTAAAAATTATACCTGACCATCGGTTTGTAATTCAATTGTAAATTGTATGTTTTTTTAATTATTATGTGTTTGTATGTATATTTCTGAGATAATGACACTTAAAAGATTGCCCATAATTAAACCATTGGTTTATGAATATATTGTTTTGGTATAAAATAAAATTTTATGTTTTTTTTATTTATTACTTTTGTTTTTATTTAGTAAATGGTAGTTAAATTTTCTTTAAAACTTTGTATTATTTCTAATTTTGGGATAGAAGTGTAAAGGTTTTTATTATCCCATGAAATCATTTTACATCCCTGCGAAATGTTATAATTTTTAATACTATTAATCAAGTAATATGCGTTTTCGATAGAACGTGTGTTTTTTTATATTTTAATTTGTTTTTTATATAAATATATGAATAATTTTTAAGTTTCATAGGCGAAGATTTGTAGCCTAAAAGTGGAGTTTTAAAATTTACCAATAGTCTTATTGAATGATATTTTTTTGAGCAAATTAACAAATGGGTGTAATTATAGAGATCGTATGTTGCTATCGTTGTTTAATAATGTTTTATCTTCTGGTGTTAATATTCCATAGAATTTCCAATAGTATTACTTATCAATTTTTTAGATTTATTAAGAGTATCATTGTTTATTATATAGTTGTTTTTAATTTTATATTTCTTATCGGGTGTTGAAAATATTTTCACGTTTTATTTATATAGCAGTTATTTTAAAATAACAAAATAAATTATAAATAAACTAATACAATGTAGATTTTAAAATATTTAAAACTGAATATTTATACATAGTTTAATTGTAAAAAAAAAGATTCAGCCTCACTACTAAAATATTCATTGAATAGTTCCCTTGAATCTTTTAATAATCTTCCAAATCTATTATTTTCTCTTCCTCCAGTAAAATTGGATATAAGCGTATATTCTTCCAAATTATCAACTGGATTATTTTGTTTATTCTGTTTCAATCCTATGTTGTGCAATACACATACTGCCTTTATAATTGCATGGCGTGCTCAACTTTTGTTTCAATAGCCTTTTTTAATGTCCTCCACTTAGAGGATAAAATTCGAAATTAATTTTCCACCGTAATTCTGGTTCTCGATAACTTGTAATTAAATATTTTCGTTTTTTGGTCATTCAAAAGTTGCTTTCCAGGATAAGGTCGTAATAAATCGGTTAATAGCAGAAACGCTGCGTCACATATAAATGTATATGGCGCTTTTATGTTGGTATTGGGTAGTTCATATTATCTGGAATATTAAGTTGATTTTGATGGATTTTTTAAAAATACTAAATTTTGTATAACTCCACCATCACTTTCTCTATCATGTGCACCAATATCTACTGTTATAAACTTATAATTAGTGTCAGAAATCGCGAATAAATTTATTGAAAAAAAATGTTTATAATTATAATACATCGAACCAGAATATTGAAGTTGTTTGATTTGTATATATTTACCGTCAATACTTCTGAGGCACTTAGGAAAATTCCATGTAGTACAAAAATCATTTGCATTTGCTTTCCAGTTATCACTCGTTGTTTCCATTATATAAACTATAAATAATTTATCCCAAATACCCTCACATTTATTCACAACAATTCTCGCGATATTTGCTTTATCCATATGAAAAGAAAAAGCTAAACTTCTGAAACTGCACCCAGTTGATAGATATCTAAAATAACAATAATAACAAAAAAAACTTGTTTAAATACTTAATTCTATTTAGTGATTAGTGTTTTAATATAATAAAATATATTATTTTAACAATAATAATTATAATTTACAATCTATCAGATTACTTTACCAATTTAGTTAATGTATACTATCGTTAAATTTTAGTGGCTACCTTCAAAACCAAGTGGAAAAACATTAGAGACTACTATCGAGCTGAATTTAAAAAAGTATCATCAAGACGTTCAGAAGCTGGTACTGACGATGTGGCTACTTCCTCATGGCCATTATTTCCATGTTGACGATGAAGATTTAATGTTCTTAATAAGACTATTGCTTGATTTGAAGTCTTTAGCTAGACGACAAAAAATGAGAGCAAAGATCTAATTTCAAGAAATTGTATACATTGAAGTTATGAACATTACACCTATAACATCTACTTCTACACTGTGTTCAAGCACGTCAGCATCAATCTACGCAGTCATCTGCATTTCCCGGTGAAGATAATTCCCAATGGCAACCATAGTAAGGTGTCAATTTTTAATCGATAACTAATTCGTAAATTCCCCGACAGAACCACACCAAGAGGAGGGTACAATATACGATAATATATAATACAAGTTTATTAAAGTTTAACTCAATAATTAATTTTAATTAAACATTAATTAAACCATTAATGTTAGTTTAGTAATATTGTTATGGCAAGGAAACCATTGTTAAGATTATTTTTAAATCATATTTTGTCAATAAATTAATTTATTAAGTTTATAAAGCACATAAGGTATATTATACATTTATTTAAATAACTTACCTAAATGTAAGAAATAGCCTTTCTTCTACAGATATTGCTTTTCAGAAATTGGTATCTTCTTTTTCGATTTCACTTCTTATAGCTTCCAAAATTATAAAACAAGTAGATTCACTCATGCGACAGTACTTAAAAAACTTAACTGGATATATTTTTAATTTACTGAACAACGTATGAAATTCTCCTTCAGATAACATGTGTCTATTTAATTCATGGACCCATAAACAGTTCTTAACCAAATTTAATTTTACATCAATTAAAGCAGCACTTTCAGCCAGCAACATTTTTCTGGACGTTATCTTGGTCGACAATCAAAGAAGAAAATGAAAAATAAAATGAACACGAGTGACGTAAAAACGCAAAATCGCTCTAGTGGAGCCATCAAAATCGCTAGTGGACATCGCACGTATAAAATCACAGAAACGTTCAAAACGCAATAACGCAATAACGCAAAATCATTCTCAGTGGGGCCGTACCTTAAAACGTCGTGAAACGACAATGTATGAAAAACGGTGAAAAGAGAGAAGGGGGTAAGGTAAAATTCTAACAATTAACCGTAACAAATAACGAAAAAGTTTATAGTTTTACAAAGATGTTTACTTCTTTATTTGTATTTTTTTTTATCTGTGCGAAACTTTTCTACCAGAAAACTTGCTCGGATTTCTACGTGTAGCACCTTTTCTGAAAGGGATTGGCGTGGAAAGGTACTTAAGTATGTCATTTTTTGATTTTCTCAGGACTTTTCTCATCAAATTTGAAAAACCGAAAAAAATACGAGAAAATATAAGAAATGTAAGTATTAGTTAAAATATATAACGGTCTTCTTTTTTCTGTTTACAACTTTTCTACCAGCAATTTGCTCCAACTTTTAATAATGGCAATATTTCTAAAAGGAAATTTCACTAGGGAGGTACTTTAGAGAGGTCATTTTTCGATTTTCTCAGAAGTTTTCCCAGCAAATGTGAATAATCGGGATAAAACATGGGAAAACCAGGAAAAACAACGGAAAACTGGGAAAACCGGTACAGCATTAAACAAATATTATTAAAAAAATATATAGAGCCTATTTAATTATTTTACCATAATATTGCATTATATTGTTGAAAAAGCATCACTATCAACTGAACTTCGTTCAGAATCATTTTTTTGTAAACAATGGTCTATCGTTGCGTACAAATATGCATTAAAATACTTATAACACTGGCTACACCGATCCCATTATCCTAGGACGTCTTTTTTCATACGTTTTTTCCGGTTTTTCACATGCCTGGAAACCTCTTATGAAATCGAAAAATGGCCTCCTTAAAGTACCTTCCCAGTCTGATTTTCTTTCAGAAACGTGCAATTATTTTAAATCTGAGCAAAGTTGCTGGTAGAAAAGTTGTTCGCAGGAAAAACAACGCCATAATATTTCTAATACCTAATACCAACTTTTAATCAACTCGAATTAATCAAAATTAATTAAAGTCTTAAAGTTTTCTTTATACACATATTATTATTTTCGTTCAATGTACTGATACGGGCAAAGCAATACGGGAATTAAGGTGAAAAGAAAAATAATCGGCATGGGAGCAGGACTACTCGTAATTTATAACAAAAATAATGGTTCGTGTACAAGACTATAAATGCCTAGGAATATATTATAAAAATGAAAACAGCTAAACATAAAAAAACCTACAGTAACAGGAGGAGTGGATTATAAAAAGATATAGATATTTAGATACCTACCCACTGTGCAAAATATTGCTCCTGTAACATAACAAAAATGTTCCTTAGGAACATTGGAATGTTCCTATGGAACTTACTTTAGAGTTGAAAAAACATCCCACAAACGTCTTATGCCGTGTTCCATGTAACTAAACAGTATACACTAATAAACCATAAAATAGTAATGTTCCTTGGATGGTTTTTTTGTTACATTCCCAGAACTCTTCAATTATATTCCAGTTATAATTTGAATATTACTAAAATTATTAGGTATTATATTAATTATTATTCATATTACAATATTGATTTGTAAATTTAAACTAAAATTAATTATATAATTTGTAAATAGTTATTAATATTTAATGGCAAATACACAATTTTACATTTATTAAAGTTTTATCACATATATATGTATAATATGTATAATGTGTATAACACATATGTATAACATACACATATACAACAATAATAATTTGCAATACAAATAAACATCATAGGTACATCATTATAAATTATTATATATTAATTTTATTAAATATTGTGACATAGCGAAATTTCAATAGCTTGATTATTTATAATCTGAAAAAATAGACATTTAAATTGTGCATTATTTTAAAGTATATCATACATACGATATTTGATATTTGGTTGCTATCAAAAATTAAATAAATTCCAATTTGTCTACTAGACACTGGTTTTGTGAATAAATCATTATCAACTTCTGAATTTAGTTTATAAATATTTTTAATTATTGCAATATTAAGATTTTCTAGTATAATATACTAATCGTTGAATTTTTTGCAACCATGAAAATAATAATTTTTTTTTTAAAAAAATTTGATTGTAATAGATAGTTTGGAAATTTGAAATATTTTCATTTATCTTAAATGATTTTAATAACTTATTATCATTGGTTATAACTGCTAACAATTCTTCTCTTTCTGGAAGAAAAAAATTATTTTACTATTAATCTCATAGAAAGGATGTCTACAAAATTTCATTGACTTTTTAAGTGTTTGAAGATAGTTCTTGTATTTAAATGAACTGAAATTATCTAAATATCCATGCAATTAAGTAAAAAATGGTAACTGAAAGTGTTCATACAATTATTTTTTTTATTTTTATTTTAATATAATAATCCCTGTATATAAAAGAAGCTCTATATTGCATTCTATATATATCCGTTACTTTTCAATATTTAACATTATTGAGTGATTCCAAAAGATGAGCAAACTCAGATGGTACTGATTTTATTAAATTAAATAAAGATTGAGAAATATTATCTTTGTTTCTTTCAAGTCTTACTGATTTTTTTCCAGGTACCCAAAACTCTAAAAAAGTTTCATAACCCCTTCAAAAATAGAGTGCATATAATCAAGTATAACTGTGGTTATAAGTTCTATTAAAGAATTTTAGCCTTCTTTATAATATTCAAGATTGGTTTTAGATCTAAATGATTCATTAGTACGTAAAGAGGCAAACATATTCAAAAAGCAAACTTTATTTTCAATAAAGTCTCCTACTTCACAAGAGTTACATGAAAAATACCCATTATGGTTTTAACTTTTAATAAAAATAATTTTGCAGGTGCAACAGTAACAATATGAATAATTTCAAAATAGATTTGTTAGGTTTCAATTATAATACCAAAAATTAGAAGGATTTTTAATTCCTTTATAAATGGCCTAAAATACTAATTTACTTTAGAAGGTTTCCCCCGGAAAACTATAGTAAATTCCAACAAATTTTATTTTTCAAAACAAATAAATTTGTAATTGATAGTGAAATTGATCAAAATTGAGTTTTGGAGCTTTTTGTTGGATGTAAGCCTTCGATATTAAAACATAACTTCAATACTTTATTATTAAGAATATATTTTATTTGTTTTCTTAAATGTGATTTTATTATATTAAGTATACCTATATTTAAATAAGAACCATTTGGAATTTTAATGATTGGATTATTAGATTTTTGTTCATTTAAAATAGATCTAATATTTGTTGGCACTTCTAAACCAGTACTAAGTAAAATTGATAACATTTTGTTTTTTACTTTTGTATTTTTACTTGTTTTGTTTTAAATCAATTAACATTGAAATATAAATTTATAGTTATAAATATTTGGAAAAAATGTGGGAAGAAATATCCTACAACACTTAAAGTAACCAAATGTCTGAACAAATTTTCAATTTATTCTGTTATAAATATATATAGGTAATTAATAGAAATTATTATAATACTTGATTAATGAAAGATATAGTTGAAATTGATAGTGCCATTGATTGTGACATTCCATTATGCTTCAAATTTCTTTTTACTGTATTAGTATCAGATAACAATTGGGGTGGATGTAGATGAAAATATGATATTTTTGCGAATTATTTAAAATACTGTGAGTTATTAGAGGTGAAATACCGGATGATCTTCTGAATGCAATAATAAAACCATTATCTAAACAAAGAAAATTAAATCATGATTAATTATAAATTTAAATAAATGATTTAGAATTAAAAGAGGTTTACCATCATAATCTGTATCATCACTGCTACTAATCAGCTGTCTTTTCTCACATGTTGCTGCTAATACTTCATTATCACTAAATGATTCTACTACTTGTTTATACCATGGTTTTGCAAAGTTTCCTAATCGATAATAATTGTACTAATTAGATGCTTATACTATTATTATTGTCATATATGTAAAGAAATTTAATACCTAAAATACCAAAGAAGGTACACACACATACCTATTAAGTCCATTTTTAAATTTACTAATCTGATGTATAGTGTAAAATGTAAATAGGTACTTAATTAATCTCAACCAAAGTTTAATTCTTCTATAAAATATCTGCACATCTTATTTTTTCCTTAAAATAATTTTACAAATAAATGTATAAGTTAACTTCCCAGTTAACTCTAATAACATTTTTAAAAGGTAAGTACCTATAATAATTATTATGAACTACTCAGATGAAACATAAATTATTTACAATAGAAAATAGAAAAGTTTATTCCATAATATCATACGATTTGCTAACACTGGGATAATAAAACCTGAATTTTAAAATTAATGTTTTTCTTACCATAAGTTTTATGTCCACCAATTACTTGGAATTCATATTGTTGTCAATAATCTTCAGGAATAGGACATTCTTTTAAATATCACTTGTTACACGTATAAGTGGCTACTTAAAATATTTGATTGTACTATAAAATACATTTTCAGTGACAGTTTCAACAAGCCAATTTGTTGGAATAACACTAAAATCTTTAGTTACGTTAAATTTGACAACTACCCATTTAAAACTATTCTGAAATGACATCATAACCAATATCGTTTATATATTTTATTGTTAACACTCATTATTTTGAAAAATATTGACTATTCTTAACTTGCCTTTTTATTTACATACACCATGATTGTAGAATACAATTTTTAGAAATAACAACTTTGGATAAATATATAAGAACTAATTAGTAAGTATATATAAAAAAACGAAAATAAGTAATAACAATGGATAACCATGAGATTTGTGCGAAAAAATCGCGAATTTGGACATATCTTTATATATATAATTC